TTGCATAGTTATCAAAGAAAAGAGAAATAAGTGTTGCAATAGGTTTTGGCTACTCTATGGACAGCTGACAGTGTCTAATTAGTCATTGTTATATTCAGGCATCCATCTAGTCCTATCTTCGAATTGGGTCCTCCCAATGCTTTGTCGGATCCTCCAGAGGCTAAGTTGGACAAGCATGATGAGAGTAACCATGAACTGGAGATGTCACCTACAACTCCTATTTATCAATCAGCTGATGAAGCTTTTCCAGATTTTAAAGCCTTGGCCATAGTTCCTCCTGTGAATACAGAGGCACTTGCTGTGGTTCCGGTGAATCATAAAAACAGACGTTCTGAACTTTCACAGCGTAGGACAAGGAGGCCATTCTCAGTTGCTGAAGTAGAAGCACTGGTCGAAGCTGTAGAGCAACTTGGAACTGGAAGGTATGAAACAAATAGAATTTTCTTTACGAGCATTGGAACAGTTTGAAATTTGTAATTCACGGGGTATCTGCATTTCAATCTTTGTTAATGCAGGTGGCGTGACGTTAAAATGCGTGCTTTTGATAATGCTGATCACCGGACTTATGTTGACTTGAAGGTTAGACATCTAATTTGTGCATTTCTTTTTCCTTCTCAAAATGTTGATTAAGGAAGATTGTTTCTCCATTTTGCTCGCATGTAAATTTTTTCCCTGTGAAAAACTGTGTACTTCCTTGACCTTTCCACATAGTATCCTTGGCTCTGAAATAAAGGTCATGTTCTGTTCTATTTATGTTCTAGTACTGTCTGGAGTTTGGAACCCAAATCTTAGCTATTTATGCCAACTTAAAAATAGGCGTGTTTTCATATGACAAGATGCTTTACAAATTTTCACGATCCAGCATGTTTATTATAATGGCTTACTGGTTCTTATGACAGCTCAGAATGATTGCATAAACAGGTACATGAGTTGTTCCCCGGATAAGCTTAGATATTATCAAAAATTTTAATTATCTATTAACAAAGCTAATGATTGTCGCCATCATCCATGTGACATGGGTTGCTTTGTTTATATATTATAGGATAAATGGAAGACACTAGTTCATACAGCAAGTATTGCCCCACAACAAAGAAGGGGAGAGCCGGTGCCCCAGGAACTTCTTGACAGGGTCTTAGCTGCCCATTCCTATTGGTCTCAGCATCAGGCCAAGCAACACGCCAAACAACATGCTGAACCTCTGAAAATTGTAGATGCTCAGGTGCAGAATGCCGTTGCTGCTTGAGTGGAGATGTGTAATGTGAAGATGTAAAAGATAATATGATTATGATAGGAGACCCGACGAGGAAATTTGTAAAGAAAGCTTCGTCGCAACTCTCGTTGACTGGCTCACACACTGATTTATTGCCATGTCTTCCGCTGTGACTGGATGGAAATGGCATTTGTAAATGAATCAAGGAATAAAGCAGTCTAACAGACAACGAATTTCTTTGCTTTTGTAGGTTCTTTTCTTTTCGTGCTGTTAGGATTGGATAGGAGAATGACGAAAAGAATATCATGATGTACATTAATTTCATATTTCTACCACTGTTATATTTGTACTTCCTGTCGTTACTGATGAATTCCTTAGACAATAGCTTGAAACTAAATTGAGTCTCCACCAACTTTTTTCTAATGTTTTTCCTTGCTATAAGTTCAGTTGTTACTAAGAGCTATGAGTATTCCATCCAACCATAGCTTGGAATCTAATTTTGGTTTTCAAGGCTTGATTTTGTGATACTTAATAATTTTTGCCCAAGTGCTTAATGGTCGTTGCTAAAGTCTAGGAGTGTTCAAAACCGAAAATCGAACCGAAATCGAAACCGAAGTTTAATGGCTTATTGGTATCGGTTTAACGGATGGGAACGGATTGGAATTTTTTAATTAACGGCTTATCGGTTTGGGGGCGGATTATTTAATTTTCTTGACGGATAATCCGTCAACCCGTTAAGAATATATATATATATATATATACACACACACACACACACACTAGATGATGTACTCGTGCGATGCACGGACCCAATTGTTGCTTTTTTTCTTCTTCTTCTTCTTGTTTTCATCCTTTTAATATTTCTTGGTCTATTGTTAATTACGCACTTTCTACGCTTTTAGGGAAAGAAGAAAGAGAATAGGCTTTTGTGTAATAACGTATAGAACCACAATTACATGTATTGTTATTTATCTTTTGCATTATGTGCATTTTAATTTTTCTGAAATCGTATTAATATACCAATCACTTTGAAACACTTGTCGAGTTTAATGCTTTATTATACAGTGATTAGATAACAATTCAAGTAGAATTTAAATTATTTCTACGTAGGGCCTTTTTTATTTTAAATTTTTTTTGCATCACTAAGCCTTAAAATAATTATTATTAAATAGTAATTAAAAAGTCAGTTGAAAAATAAGTCATCATGTATTTTTCTCATTTTTTAAATTGAATGATATATAGTTTTATTCTTTTAGTATTTTCAGTGTGTTAATGTATTATTTTTTTTCTTTTCGTACTAATCAAAATTTAAATAATAAAAAATATTAATATTATTCCCAAATAGTTGATGAAAAGGTATTTTTTGTTTCTTTGAAATAATAATCGTAATTTTTAATTATTAAGAATTTTAACAAGAAAATTTGTATTTTGTTCTAGTTGAATGACATAATATTATAAATAAATTAATATCTCGATCACTCTAAATACTAATCAAATTGACCGTAAATTGAAATATTACAGTTTTTCTTAGTTTCATTTGATATGATTGAGATACTATTTAGGGTATAATACAATTTCATCACAATAGTAGTATTTGTTGAGAATATTTTAAAAATAATTAATTGTATATTTATGTATTTTGAAATTTATATATGTTGAATTCTTATTGAATAGAGTATGTACTCAACTAACTTCGATCATAGAGGGAGAAGTATAATCCTGTATGACGATACTTCTCATGCTTCCTAATATATAACGATTTTTAACAGAAAAAAAATTCACAAATTAATTGTCTTAATTTTTACTTCAGATATTCTCAACTCATATTTTAGAGAGGGGATACTTATTATACAATTTGAACAAGTTTTTTATATTCTATAATAAAAAAGTGGACTTGAAACTATATTTTATTCTTAAATAATTTTTTTCCGAATTTTATAGTATTCCAATTGAAATTGCAATTTAATGAGAACTTTGTATAAAATGATATCAATTGATAATGATATAATAACATTTGAATGTAAATCTACATACATTATCACTAATTCTTTTTTAATGAAATCTTCTTTACCTGGAATAGTTAATAAATAAAATAATATTTCTTAAAGAGATAATTGTCATATATAAATGTATGTGACCTTAGTTTTTTAATCAGGCGAACATTTGAATTATAAAATTATCAAAAAAATATTTTTTTCTAGTTAAAAGTACTATATCGAAAAAATAATAATAACAATCAAGTAATGCATTTAATGAAGATAGTGAAAGTTGAATGGAAAGTGGGGTCCACCTAAAGAATTGAATAGCTTATGGGCACGTTAGTTTTGGTTTTTCCTGTTATTAAGAACCCACAACCAAACTTTTGAGCCTAGTATACAAACAAACAATGCACTAATATATAAAATAGATATTATGCCCTTGGTCAACCTCCTCTTCTCTCTTCTATATAATGAAAAATGAGTGATCATTTTGGTCTTATAGGCCCGTATGTCTTATATATAAGTTGGNTACTCTATCTCTAACGCCTAAATAATCAGAAACCCTAACGCCTAAATTTCAACCAGTAGCCACCAGCAGTACTCTATCTCATCGACTTCCAACACTCTATCTTGTCGACTCGCCGTCTCCCTCTCGCAATCTCGTCGACTCGCCGTCTCCCTCTCGCCGACTCGCCTCTCCATCTCGCCGTCTTGACGTCTCCCTCTCGCATAGCCAGAGTAGCAGATGGTAAGTTTCTTTTCTTGTTGATGTCTTTAAAACAAAGAGCATCTCAATTCTCAAGGTATTCAGATGCTTGCTTCAGTATACATAAACAGGAACTCATCTGTTTTGAAACATAAACACAAGTTTTGTGAAGAATCAGAAACTTCTCACTTTAAAAGCATACAAGATTTAGGATGTTTGACTCCGTTCTCAGTATACAAAATTTAAAAGCAACAGTAATCAGCAGGATGTTTTAAAGTTCACAAAACTCATTTGTTTTTAGATCGATTTTGACAGTACCTGTATAAATATCTGTTAAGCAACTTGTTATTCTCATTCCTTTTCTTTTCTTGTTGCAGTGACTCATACATGGCTGAAAATATTCAAATTGATAAGGTGATGATGGGTGAAAGTGGGGCTTCTAAATCAAATGCAACAAGTCAAGCTCAAACAACGGAGTCAAATATAACCAAAAAAAGGAAAAAAAAGGTCTGTTGTGAGGGATCATTTTACAAAAATTATTACTTCTGAAGGGAGTACAAAAGCAAAATGTGACTATTGCTTTATTGAGTATTGTTTTAAGACCAAAGACGGTGCGTCGACACTTCTTACTCATATGAATAAGTGTCCTAAACACCCTGCTATTGTTGATAAAAAACAATCAAATTTAGGCTTTCAATCTGTTCCGGGGGGTAGTCAGAGTGACGTAGCTATTGTTACTTGAAAATTTGATCAAGAAGAATGTAGGAAGGTGTTATGCCGTATGGTAATAGTTGATGAGCTTCCTTTTAGCTTTGTTGAGAAAGAAGGTTTTAGAGACTTTATGAAAGTGGCGCAACCTTATTTTCGGATCCCTTCCCGTGGTACTGTAACTAGGGATCATTTTGATCTTTTTAATGAAGAAAAGCAAAAGTTGAAGAGGTCTTTTATAGAAACAAAACAAAGAGTATGTATTACCACTGATACCTGGACTTCTATACAAAGAATCAATTACATGTGTGTCACTGTCCATTGGATTGATAGTGAATGGAATATGCATAAGAGAATAAACAATTTTTGTCCTATTATTAGTCATAAAGGGGAAGATATGGCAAATAGTATTGGTAGGTGCTTACGTGAGCGGGGGTTAAATAAGATCTTCACTGTCACAGTTGATAATGCAAGCTCAAATGACGTGACAACAAAAGAATTGTCTAAGCAATTAACAAAAATGAGAACTAATTTGATGAATGGTACTCACCTTCACGTGAGATGTATGGCTCACATCATGAATCTTGTAGTCCAGGATGGTTTTAAAGAATCTTCAGTGTCTATTGAACGTGTTAGGCATGCAGTGAGATATGTTGGGCAGTCTCCTGCGAGGTTGAAGAGGTTTCAAGAATGTTTTGATGATGAACAACTCAATTGTAAAAAAACTTTATGCTTAGATGTTCCAACTAGGTGGAATTCCACCTACTTGATGTTGCGCAGGGCTGTTGAATTTGAAAGTGCATTTTCACATTATGCTTCTAGTGAAATTGGCTTGAGACATTATCTTGAGCATTCTTATATTGAAGTTGGAATTCCTACAGGTGAGCTTTTGAGTAGTGATTGGGAGAATGTAAACAGAATTACAAAGTTTCTTGAAATCTTCTATCTTCTTACTTTGAAAATATCTGGATCACGTTATGTTACATCAAATACACATTTTCTTGAAATTTGCGCAGTTGCTGTTTATTTGAAGCAATTGATAGCAAATAAAGATACAGTTTTAAGTGAAATGGCAAAGAATATGAAAGAAAAGTTTGATAAGTATTGGGGTGATACAGGGAAAATGAACAAGATAATTTTTACCTCATGTATTTTGGATCCACGTTACAAGCTCGAATCAGTTGGCTATGCATTTGTAAAGATGTTTGGTGTAGATCCGGGGGCAACTATACAAGCAAAAGTGACGAAGTACATGATTTCATTATTTAGTGAGTATGTAAATTCCAGCTCAAAAGGTGTCGTGCTTTCTTCATCTTCAGATTGTTCTTCATTGGACACTTCGACTTCCGGGCTTTCTGGCAGTCAACCAAGCACCCAAAATATAAGACTTTTAGAATCACTTATGCAAGATATAAAAAAATATAAAAGTGTGAGTGGAGGTGTAGATACTAGAACAAAGTTAGATAAATATTTAGGTGAAGAAACTGAGGATGACACTAAAGAATTTGATGTTCTTCTTTGGTGGAAATTGAACTCAGCTAAATTTTCTATTCTTGCGGAAATGGCTCGTGATATATTAGTTGTTCCGATTTCAAGTGTGGCATCCGAATGTGCGTTTAGTACGGGAGGACGTCTTCTTGATTCAATTAGGAGTTCATTATCTCCTAAATTGGTGCAAGCTCTAGTGTGTCTTCAAGATTGGCTTCGAAATGAAAAATTAAAACAACCTGTTAGTGTTGAGGAAGTTCTTGATAAAATCTAGCAGCTTGAACAAGGTAATAATATTGTTACTATATTTGTTGTATATAAGTGTTGTTGATATGCTTATATTTATCACACGACTCATTATTTTAATTTTTTTCTTCAGATTTAGCCAGCAATGGAAAATACCCTTCCGTAATTACGTGTAGTGTTAATATATCTGGTAAGAATTCGAATTTAACCCATCAAAGCTTCAAGTATTGAATCTGTGCTTGCAACTGCTATGATTAGTCAGCATCAATAGTTATTAGTAGACATCCTATCTTCTATTATCATTAATAAGTAGTTGACAGTTTTCTTATGATATTGAAGAGTGTTATTTGTGTGGGAAGAACAACAACATACTTGTGCATATACCAAAAACTATCTTTTGATATTCCAGTTCTAAGTGGGAATGCATGTGATGATGGTTGTGTATGTGACGTCTCGACACTTCTGTGGTTGGATGTGAATTTCTTGGATAATGCCTCAAATCTTGTTATCTGGAAAGATGCTAGGATGAAGCAATATCCAAATTGTAAGTTGATAATGTATATGGATATGTTTCTTAAATGCCATAACATCCAGTGATATAGGGCATGAGAAAATTGATGTCAAGCTATAGATCTTTCCTTACAGCAATGAAGTAAAACTTCTTAGCAATTTGATGGGGTTTGAAACTTATCATTATAAATTGGCAGTGAGTCTGTTTTGTCGGTTCCGGGAGCAAGAGAGAAGAAACATAGACTGGACATGTAAAGAGATCTTCTGCATCCCTTGACGACGTCTATTGTTGTCAACCTTGAATTTTGATTTTGCTGTACAATGCATGCTGAGTAGTTCTTTTACAGTTTACTTTTGGATTGATTGCTTCGAGTTATACCGATAACTTGTCAAGTTTCCAGGTCTTGATTTAATGTCAGTTTTCTGCATTTAGTTGGGGCAATGAAGCTTAATTAGACACAGCGGGTTTGACCGGACTCACTGCGTCTACGCTAGATGGCCCGCTGTTTGTGGATTCAACCTGTTTGACCGGCAGCAAAGTTGTGGTTGCAGGAAAGGATGCTTCCTTGTTTGGTGTATTTTATAAGCATAATCAAGCATGTTGTATGTTGCATGCTTCCTTGTGTAAACTTTATCAGCCTAATCATGTAGTAGTTGTACATTTGCATGTTCCTAGTTCTCTCTATGAATATGCAGTTTTAATGCTCAACGTCATTGCTTGTGCATATACCAAAAGCTTTTGGGTAACTGTTGTGTGGTCTTCAACTCTTTTTATTGCCTCAAGAAAGTAGTATTTATCAGTCTCTACTTCGTTGCCTAATGCTGAAATTTGGTGTATGCATATTTTTTACAGGGATCTACTCACTTATGGATTAAGTTGTGGTTTGAACTTTGAAGCTGCAGAAATTCAAGCACTGTTAGGACTAAGGCGCTAGCTGCATGCCAAACATTTCTGTGTAATCTGCTCACTTATGGATAATCATTTTGAAATATGTATTCTGGACTCACTTTGGATATAGACCTGGAATTTTATCATTTCAGAATTTGTATTCTAGGTGTTAACAGACATATGTATTCTGGACTCATCCGTAATGTAGTCTGCTTTGGGATGTAATGGACTCATCTATTGTATTCTATAGACCGGAATATAGTCTGCTGAGCGTAGGAATTTTCTTTCGAGTCACAGCGGTCAACAAACAATTAATGCATGCAATATAAATTGAATTAGGCCGATAAACAACCCGATAAGAGCTAAACCGATACTAATCCGCCCGATATCTTATCGGGTGGCTAGCGGATTAATACATTTAAAAGCTGATAACCGATAAGCCAAACCGTTAAGAGTAAATAACTGCCCAATTCGCCCAATAAGCAGCCCTACTAAAGGCCCACTATTGGAGGAAGAAATACCTTAGTAGCCGAAGCCAGAAAAAAATCGGAAAATTAAAATTTAATTAACATATAATAAGGATATTTAGAGAATTGAGACTCTATATAGAAATTGAAATAAAACAATAAAATAATAAAAGATTGTAGAGAAAAGGGAGAGAGTTTTATTAATTTTTGGGATGAATTGCACTGAGATAAAATCCCACTATTTATAGGAGAAAAATGACATAGCTACAAAGTAAGAAACTCTCTAAAACATAGACATTCACCTAGAATACAATTCTATCTATAACACTCTCCCTTAAATGTCTATTCCACATATTATGTGTCTCGTTAAAACCTTAAAAAAAAATCCAATGAGAAAAAAATTCTAGTGTAGGAAAAAGAGTACACTTGTTTAGAAATACGCCTTTTGGTTGCCTCATTAAAAACCTACAAGGAAAAGTCAGTGGGACAAAACCTTGTAAGGAAAATGAGCACAACGCGTATTAGCTCTCCCTGATGAGAGAATCAATTCATATCTTTAAGCCTTTCGCATCGCAATCTTGTACACTAGCTTCTTGAAGGTTGGTGTCTGTAGAGATTTGGTGAACAAATCAGCCATATTGTCACTTGAACGAATCTGTTGCATATTGATATCACCATTCTTTTGAAGATCATGTGTGAAAAATAACTTTGGTGAAATGTGCTTTGTCCTATCTCCCTTTATGAATCGTCCCTTCAATTAGGCTATGCATGCTGCATTGTCTTCATATAAAATTGTGGGTAGTTTGTCACACTTCAAACCACATTTTAGATATCGCACTATGTGTTTGATTCCATTTTAACATCTCTTGTAAGAGCAGTGCTATATCTTGCTAAGACATCAACTGAAAAAGTTATGTGAGGTCTTGTAATTAGCAAGATACATTAGTGCATCAATTGCACTATGATATGGAACTTCAGGACTAAGAGGCTCTTCATTCTTTTCTTGAGGTCGGAACAGATCCTTATTCATATCAGGTGATCGAACAACCATCTGAGTACTTAATGGATGTGCTCCATCCATGTAAAACTATTTCACTACCTTTTCTGTGTAGGCAGATTGATGAACAAAAATTTCGTTTACCAAATGTTCAATTTGTGATTAATTTGTTATTTAAATTACTCACATTTCCAGCTAGATCTTGGGCAACTTGCCCAGAATTTTATTTATTCCAAGCTACAATTAACACATAAATAAAATATCTCTTTTTATTTAACTCAAAACACTTTTGGTAATCAAATTTTTCGGGTAGATCTATAAAGTTTGGTTGGAACTCCATTTTCTTTGACGTAGCTATAGTTTTAAAATTCGGCAAAGGGCCAAATATATTCCTGTACTATGAGAAACTATTTAAATATATCCTTTGTTATACTTTGGGTCCAAATATACCCCTGCTGTAATACTATTGGTTCAGATATATCCCTTTTCTGTTAAGTTTGTCCAAGGTGGACATCCAATTCTTCGTGGCACTGATATTTGATAAGGTGGATTCCATATGGCATGCCACCTCAGTGCCCCTAATTTATATATAAAAGACTAATATTTGAAATACAATATTTTTCGTGGTAGCGGTAGTGGTGGCATAGTGGTGGAGGGAAAGAAAATCTTAGTGGTGGAAAAAAAATAGAAGGGAGAGGTAAAATGGGTTAGGGGCGCTGAGGTGGCAAACCATGTGTCATCCACCTCATCAAATGTTAGTGCCACATAGGAGTGGATGTCCACTTTGGACAAACTTAACGGAAAAAGGATATATTTGAACCAATAGTATAACGACGGGGGTATATTTGCACACAAAGTATAACTAGGGGTACATTTAAACCTTTTGTGATAATATATGGTATATTTGGCCCTTTTCCGTTTAAAATTTAATGCATGTGATATCTTAAGTTAAATAATTTTTCTTTTTAAACTCTCACATTTTTTACTCTAATGTTTCTGGCTAGACTTGTAACTAAGTCCGGAGAACTTTATTTGTTTGTATTGATCCGAAGTTCTAAGCAAATATAAGAACAAATAAATATGGCAAACAAGCAAGAAACGATAAAACATACAATTGGAACAAATAGTATACCATGTAACAATTAATCGTTGGAACAAAAAGCCATGTGGAAGTTTTTTTTTACATTTTCCTTACTCTCACACGCTAATAAAGAACTGAAACCACTATCCCTGTCACCTGGTACAATAGGGTGGCAATAGACACCGAAAATTGAGTTTTCAGCGTAATAAAAACCTTGCGTTCTTTAATAGCGCAAATTGCTAAGTAAACCAGGTTTAAGAAGATTTTTATTAATTAAGCCAAATAAGAAAAATGACCCAGCTTCAAGCAACGCAGTGGACATGGTCACATAGAGACAATAGCTTAGTTACTTAAGTCAAGCATATCTAAGGCAATACTTTACTTCTCCCATAGGTAAGATACTTATTGATTGTTTTACTACTATTAGTTCCGTGCTGCCACGCTCCAAAACTGGGGCCAGGTGGACGTGATGACGCTCAAGCTTTCTTGCCCCTCGAGCAAGTCATGTTCTATCTAGCGATACATGCTGATAAGATTATCTAAGCCAATCAAGTGTGAATAAGTCTTATATTAAAATTATCTGAAAATAGCTAATGAAAGTTTATACCCACAAACGACAATCATGAGCCTTTAACGACTAAAACTAAAGTAATAATTCCCTTGAAATAATAATATGTCTAAATGACTAAAAGAATGAAGATATTCAACTAACGCTGAAAGGAATTAACGGAGTCTTTCTACTTGATCTACGAAAAGTTCGGAATCTAGCCACGAGCTTCTTCAGCTGCACACTCAACGCCTGCCACGCGATGTGACAAGACCAAATGGGTTAGGTACCTCGAAAGATACCTACTAAGTCATGGTTACCACCCCTAAGCGGAGGACAAGACTTTTTGGACTAAATAGTTATAGCAAGAATGCAATAAACGTAACTTAAGCAACTAAGTAAATTAAAAATGAAATGTAAAAGTTGAACTGATACATGAAATCTAATTTAAGTTCTGATAGTTAAATATAGTTGAGTTTATTTATTCCATAAATTCTATCTAACAAGCAATGGGCCTTTTACACTAGGGTAGATTGA